AACTTCAAAATGGAATAAAAATGAAATGAGTCACAGAAGATCACCTAGAATATTAGAGCATGACCAAAACCTACGGTTTCATCCAATCCTGTGGCTTTGGCATTGCAGCTCCATTACAAAGGCTTCAGTTAGGATGCTTCTATGTGTGGCAAGATTAATTCGTCTCAGATGCTGTGCTACACCAAAACAAAACAATGCTGTGATTTAACAAGACATGTCAATCTAGCTACCTTCTGGTCAGTATACCCCCCTCTGCCAAATGCCTGATATTGCTTCTACTTGGCAAACATGATTGCAAAGGAGGCCTGTAAGAATAGCACTGATCACAACAATTTAATGCTTTTTCCCTTAATGGGTGCCAGTGTACAGTACAATGAAAACCATCAACAAGCCAGTGCTAAAAGACAATAAAATAACTAACATTAAAACAATGTTCATATTTTAAAAAGTTCTGGAGCAATTGCTGTTGTTCTGGAACAATCATCCCCCAAAATATCTGGGTAAAGCTTTTATACCGATAGGTTGCTTTCAGTAGAACAAAAGAACTTTGCTGCTGGAGTTAAAGTAGCAACTCTGCCATCTCCTTCCATCACACAAGGAGTGCAGAAAACACAAAAAGTTATGTTATTTTAGGTCCTGACCAAAAAAATGGAATTTAAACTAGAACAATGAAATCTGAAGTTATCTTGTCTACATTCTGCATACAAGTAATGCTGGACCAACAAAGATCAGCCTATAACTGGAAGCCACATTCCTGTAAAATGCTGGGCAAGACTCAGTAATCAATCATATATTTAAAAGTGACAAAATATACTAAGAAATCCCTTCACTGAGGAAGAAGATACTAGCAAGCCATTTCTAAAGATGTTGCAAGAAAATGGTAGGACTTAACCAAGACTGGTGCAGACTGTTGACTAAACAGATTATAACAAAAGGAACGTGTTGTTGGCAAGACAATCTTTTCCAGTCCCTGCCCAATTCAGATGATTTTTTCTTCAAAGAATAGCCTCATGAAGAAGCACCGTTTGTACAATACGCTTGCCCTTGAACGCTAGAATTTCCTGAATTTTCCGGTCACACTTTGGGGATTCAGTACCACATGAATTCAAGCTTAGGATATTGAAAACAAGATGCTAACTTGCAAATGCAGCCTTTTGGTTAAAATGGAAAACCTCTGCTTGCTGATATATTTCTGGACTCTTATAAAAGGCAGAAATGGTTGAATTAAATAAACAAATATTCCAGGTGAAGGGATTTTTATCTAATAATCTAATTGACCCATCATAATATAGACAAATATTTATTTAATATAGTATTTTTGTTAAATAGAGATGGGAAAGTTTACAATTATTTGTAGATCTGTTACATAAAGAAGAGGAGAATTTAATCTGTTTTCCACCCAACATCCCACCTGGGTGGATTCCATATGTTTAAAGTTAAATTTATTTGATACCTAGGTCATTTTTTTCTTTTTTGGATGTATGGATTTTTTTTTTCTGCTTTGTATTTCATTTTTGTTGATAAAACAAATATGTAATCAAAAAAAGAAATAGTTGAAATCTGGATGCAAAAGCAGCTGCTGAAATTTACCTTAGGAGTTTTCTGAATGGCTTTTGTTGGACTCTCAACTTTTCCCTTCAAGGTTTACCTTCAACCTACTTATTTTCAATTCCCATGAATGGAGGTCTCATAAATTTTATGTAAGATATTGGAACCTCCTCAGATCTTGAATTAAATCCAGGCAGGTGGGCCTGACATGCGTAAGTGAGAAATTAACTAAATATCTGTTAAGATGTTAAAGGACATGTGAACAAACTCCACAGGTACGCTCAGAAAAGATCAGAAAACAATGTTAATTAAATACATGGGGTGGAATTAAATCAAACTTCTTAATATTTTGGTTTCAGGCGAGTTTAAGAACAAATAAAAAATAAGAGTGTTATACATTCACATGATAAATCTCATCATAGGCTAAGAAAATCCAGTAAGCCAGAACAGCTGCTGGCTCTGAAGCTACAACTTGCAGACCACATTATTAAAAGGGATGTTTTAAATATTTAGATCAGTTTTGATCAAAATGATTGAAAGGAAGAAGATTAAAGTGTTTTCCAAAGGCCTTGGGCAGGGGCAGGGCACAACAAATGTCATCTAATGTAATCTTCAGGTGTGCTTGTTTTGATTTAGTAGAGCTCCATCTTTTCAGGTCCTACCACATCTGAGTATAAAAAAGGGATTATGCTGAATCAGATAAAAAGGCTGATTCCAGGTCCACATTCTGCCTCTTCATGACAATATCCATTTTGCTCTCAGAATTCAAGGCCTAAGCCTAAAGCTTCAGTAGATTTGACCCCAAATTGGATTTTCCCATGTATTTAACAAGGAAAGGAAAATAAAGGCAGGATCAAAAAGTTAGCACCCTGCTGAAAATACCAATGTCCTATGAATCCATTATTAATGTCCATTTTACTCACTGAATTAATGAAGATCTAACACTAACCCTAAGTGGATTTCCTCACAATGAGATTGTCCATGTATTTTACCAGGAAAGGTAGCTAAGACAGTCCTGAACCATCAGAGCCCTAGTAAACATACCGATTGGCTATGAATTTGATGGTGATAGCCATTTTGTTCTCTGAATACATGGAGACCCAATCCTATCCATAAGTAGATTTTCCCTCCAATAGAATTTGTCTATGTATTTTATCAGGAACATAGTTAAGCAGGCTCGAAAGGTCATCCTCCTCCTACACATACCAATGCCCTATGAATCACTTGGCAATGTCCATTTTGCTCCCTGAATTCATGGAGACCTAGCCCTAACCCGGTTTTTCACCCAATGGGACTTTCCCAGTTATTTTAACGGGAAATAGATATAAGGCAGTCTTGAAAAGTCATCTCCCTCCTAAACATTCCTCTGAGCTATGAATCCATTTTGCTCCATGAATTCATGGAGACCTAAGCCTAACCCTAAGTGGGATTTCCTACCAATGAGATTTTCCCAAATATTCCACCAGGAAATGTATATAAGGAAATATTCAAGTCACTGCCCTCCTAAGAATACCTCTGAGGAAACTTTCCTGGGAAGTCTGCAAGTAGGACATCAAAGCAATATTATGCTCAGCCTTTTTCCCCCCAGAGGAAATGGAGTCGATACCCTATTTTAAGCAATCAACAGGTCAAATTTATAGTGTAATCTTTGGCAAAGTAGTTATATTCCTTTAAAATTGCCATATTTATTAACATCTGATGAAGCAAACTCTTTGCTGAACTTTGTACTAGGTCAGGAGTGTCAACCTCCTGTTGTCATGGCGTCATCTCGAGACTTATGGGGACTTTGCCCCCCCTTCGCTAAACCGGGCAGGGGCGGGGTCAGTATGTGACTCATCTGGCCCGCGGGCCGTGAGTTTGACACCCCTGTACTAGATGAAGAAGACATTCCTTTTATTTGTCTTGACATCTCCCACTATTTACTTTCATTGAGTGTCTCTGGATTTTACTGTTTTCAAATAAGACAAAACTTAATTTTTTCCACGCCAGGCATAATTTGATGTAACCGGTGGAACAGCTTGCCTTCAGAAGTTGTGGGTGCTTCATCACTGGAAGTTTTTAAGAAGCAACTGGACAGTCACTTGTAGGGTCTCCTGCTTGAGCAGGGGGGTGGACTAGAAGACCTCCAAGGTCCCTTCCAGCTCTATTCTGATGGATTGATCATTTCATTTTTTTAATTTAAGAATGCCAGATGTTGATTTTTCACAAGGGCTGCACCATCAACAAACCATCAAATGTTTGTTTCAGCCTGGCTAACATATGGCTGATACGGCTTGTTCATACTTAGCCAGTGTGATTACTTTATGATCATGTCATGTGATTGGATTCAGTAAATAATGATTTGGTTAAGCAAAGCCATTGGTTCAGAAGCATTTTGGGATTGGCAGCTGCAATCACCCTAGCTGGTGCTTTACTTCATAGTGGAGAGCTCAGTGCTGCAAGCATGTTGCGTAAATGAGGATCCAAATTGTTGGGAGCAATAATGCAATATGCTGACTCTGTAAACTGCTTAGAGGGGTGTGTGAAGCACTATAAACTGTATATAAGTCTAAGTGCTATTGCTGTTACATCTGAATGTTTAAATGCTTTATGTTTAATGTCTAAATGTTTAAAGGTTCTACTAACAACTTCTTTCCAATTAGATATAAATTAAGATTTCATTGATTTTTAGAGTTCCCCTCCCTCCCTCCTCCGCCATATCGCCAGCCTCTAAAAGCAAACGTGCCGCTTTTTTAGCATCTGCAGAATTTTAGCTTAAATGTCATCTAAAGGTTCAAGAACGGACAATTCATGGGTATCCTGCAGTAAACGCGATTCCTCGTCCCCACGTCTCTACAGAGGATTATACTAGGGACGGCCTCTAGGGGTCACTATTCAAACGGACGGCGCTTTGACACAACCGCACTTGCACTGAGGATAACAACAGCGCCGGCTGCCAGATTGATTCTTCCTGTACAAAACAAAAATTCCTTAAAGAGGACGGCGCTTTGCCAATCCCTCTGTGCTTGCCTCCCGGTGCACTGTGGGAATCGTAGTCTTCAGAGGCTCCGGCTGGGCTTGACTCAAAGGAGCCAAGACTACAAGTCCCGTAATGCCGCGGGTTAATCGGTTGGCCGTTCCTTTTGAATGATTTCACTGCGGTTTACATTCCCAGGGAGTTTCGCAGCCGCAGTCAGAGACCGGGGAGGTGGGGTTGGGGGGCAGGAATCATGGTGTAAGCGCCGGGCGATCGAAGAGCCAAAGGAGCCTTCCCGGTTCATGGCACGCCGGGCAAGTGGCGCTGGAGAGGAGAGGACCATGGTGGCCGAGGGACTGGCGGGGTTCTGAAGGTGCTGAAGGGGGCGGAGGGTGCTGCGGCGTCCATCCTTCTGCTTGCTTTCCCTGCCGCATTTCCTTCCTTTTTTGCCGGTCTGTGGAAACCCCCCTCTCGGCCGCCTCCGCCTGCTGCAAAGATGTCTCTCGCCATGGAAGAGGAAGAATACGCCAAGCTGGTGATGGAGTCGGAGCCCGAGTGCCTGCGCGCCGAGATCAAGCGGCTCTTCCAGGAGCTGGGCGAAACCACCCGGGAGAAGATCCAGGCTGCCGAGTATGGGCTGGTCGTCTTGGAGGAGAAGCAGCAGCTCAAGCAGCAATACGAGGAGCTGGAGCTGGAGTACGAAACCATCCGCACCGAGATGGAGCAGCTGAAGGAGGTGAGGGCGCCCCTCGGGCACGGACTGCGCCAGCAGCTGGGCTCCCGTCTGCGGAGCGCGGGGGCGGCAGGAGCGGCTCCTTCTGCAGTAGGGACGGCAGGCATAGGAAGGGCCGATTGGGGAGCGGGAGTGCGGTGGGGTGGGAGGACGGGACGGACAGGCAGGAAGCCTGAGCCGGGCGCTTGGAGGATTTCGCCAGCCGAGCTTGGCCGATCGCACGCTTGGTTGGGGGCGGCCAGACTTTTGCCTTCGCGCAGGGATTTCTTGAGTTTGACCCTTTGCAGGGGAGGCCGTGAGGAATGGGGGCTGTGAACAGATGAGTTTGAGTGTCTGGAAAGCGGGGTGGGTTCATAAGTGAGGTTTGCAAATCCTCCCCCCTGCTTAGGATGTCCCTTAGATAGCCCTCACCGGAAAGCAGCTGCTGGCTTGGTTTTCGTTTGATATATCCGGCAGGCAGACCCCAGGCATATCCACCCCCCCCCCCCATCCCTCCATGCAGTGTCACAGGAGCCACTAGGAGCTGGATTCTTGATCTTCCTCCAGCTCCTTTGCTCTGGCGTCATGCTGTGTAGTCCCCTTAAAGGGGCAGCTGAGCGTTCCCCTTCATGTCCCCTTCCCTTGGACATCTGCAGAATCTACTTGCAGAACTGGGAAATGGGCTGCTTGAAGGATCCTGAGCTTTAGTGATCATCTGCCCACCAGCAAAGGGCCTTCTCTTTCTTCCCTCTGCTGTAGAGTGCTCAGGCCTGTTGGCATTTCCGTTGCTATTTAAGGAGCACAAACCCCCACAGGATTTCTTTCTCAACCTGGCTCTCTAGAATTGCCAGAGGTTTATGTGCTTTTCTGTTTGTTTTGATGTTTGACATGTTGATGTTTGACATGGGGAACCTAGATTTTCTGGCCTGCATTTCCCACCTCTTAAGTGCACACACACACACACACACACACACACACACACACACACACACATGAAATTATCTATTTCGAAACAGATCATTTTTAAGGGTTCATTAGAGGAATGTTCTCTGTTCAGAATTGATACTTGTTTGGATAGTGAAAAAACTCATTGATCTGAAAATTATTCCCCTTTTAGAAATTGTACTGTCTTGATGGTTCATATCTTGATTTCAATACATACAGTTGGAATATTCAGCATTGTGCAAGGGTATTCCCAAAGAATTTGATTTTTGTTAAAACCTTAAAGGTTTGCATTCACATGTGCAAAATATCCTTTGGTTTCACTATTTGTTCAATGGTGAAAATCCTTTTTCAGTTTTCCTGAATTCTTCTATATTTTCATAACCCTACAGAAGTGATAAAACAGAAACTTACACTTGTCATTCTTTGTTTAGGTAATTTTCTATATATTTGATTTAATTCTGGTTTTCTGGATTTTCTATCCTAGAGCATCAGTTTTGACTTTGGGCGCCCAACATGTAGTTTTCCCCACACACCTTTTGGGGACAATATAGGGGAAAGAATAAAAATGTCTTTGTGTGGTTCTGCCTAGTCCAGCCCCCAGATAGGTAGGAGAAGGAAAAGAGCTGTAACAGAAGGCAGTGAGTGTGTAACGTAGCAGGTTTCATAAATGCTGGCTCCTTCCCTTATATATCAGTTGTAGTGAATTATGGATTAGAAATGAGAGCTTTGTTGTGGCTTGAAAAATGGTAATGATCACAAATGCTTAGAGGGAACATTTGGAGGGAGGTGAAGAGCAATCTTACCGCTATTGTTGCAGAACAACTAATAATTTGCCAGCAACAGGAGCATTACCATAGGCCCAAATTAAAAGGGAACAGTAAAAGTTAATGTAATTAAATAGCAGAAAAATCTCTGTACTGGCACAGTTTAATAATGACTTCTTTTTTTAGAATAAATTATTTAATATTACTCACTTTTAAACAATTTTTAAGCAGGACACGATTAACCAAAGCAAAGTAGGGTTTTTTTTCAGTCCTTATTAAATATATGTGTGCATTGGTATGTCCAACAGAAATACTGTTGTGAAGTAATGGGAAAAATTCCTGGAGGGCATATGGTTACCAGTACAGTATCACTAATGGCTTTCTCTTCCTCCCCCTCATGTCTATGCCATGTTTTAACATCTACACTGTCAGCAGAAGTGCAAATGTGTGGCCTTTCTGAGAAGGAGGTAGGTAGGACTCTTACCAGAGGGTGAGGATTTAATTTCCCTCCCAGAACTCGTAGCCCCTTCCTGTAACATCTATCAGAATTGAAATATGTCATGAGGGGTCGAGGGAAACAGTGTAAGCAGACATGCAATAGGATTTGAGTTGGGTATGAGTGAGCCCAGGTGGAAAACCAGAGAGTCCTTCCTCAGAGAACAGACTCTAATAGATTCTTAAGTGCATGGTGAAGGGCCTCAAGGTATAATTGCTGGTAATTTCTTTTTGAGGCTGTAATATCATGATGGACCAGGGAATTAATAAATATTGCCGCTGTTATTGCTACAGAGACCCATCTCCGTTTAGGACGGGCCCAGAAATCCCCTTGGTTTTCTGAGCTGCTCTAAGCAAGGAAGCCAAACTGTAAACTGCTAAAGTGCAAGTAGTGCAAATCTCATTAATCCTATGACTGAGCATAGGTCAAAAGGCCCAGTTGTGCCTGGTGTATTGTAGATTATCAATGGAGCATCAGATCAAATCATTTACCACAGCGAGAAGACCAGAGAACAGTGAGATAACACCCACAAAATGAAATTCTGTACTCAAGAAGTAAACTATGTTTCACAAGAAGTGAAACAAATAGCAAAGAACAAAAATAATATAATACAAGAGAAAGAGTGTCATAATAACATGACGTATAAGTAAATAGATAAGGTGTATAATAGTTTAGCTATGAGTAAAGTGAATAGATCAAATAGAGGCATCAAACAAGGCACAATCTGAGAGCATTAATTGGATTCTTATCCGACAAGACAAATAACAAATAGAAGTTGCGCTCTTTGCCTGGAAATTTCCTCAGGGTGGGGAAGGTCATTCAAGAATAAATTCCTATAAAGGGAGTAACAAAGGAGCATATGATAATGAAAGAGGGCATCTTCACTGCCTGGTTTTCTCAGTGATCTACCTAGCTGGACTTCTAGATGTTTGTCCATTGTAACTTGAATTTAGTAAGGAAGGTCTTATTAGTTGGATTTAGACAATAGTTAATAAAAATTTAGATGCCTTAAAGAAGGTGACAGTTTGGTCTACTCTGAACAATCCTTTCTTAGAGCCTGAGATTCTGGACAACTACTTTCCAATGGTAAAATGGGGCATAACTCACTTAACAAAGGTCTCATTTAACAACATAACAACATTGGGTTCAATTGTAGTCGTAAGTCAAAGACTACCTGTACTGGAGAAGATGATAGCCATCTAATTGCAAGCACATTTGGAATAAATTAGTTACCTAGTTTCATTTCACTGTAATGTCATGTCTGAATGTAGCATAGAATCAGCCTTGCTGGCCCGTTTGAGATCTCAGGTGTTTTAGTTTTTCTGAGATTTATTGTCAAGCATTGACACTACTGATCATAGCATGTTGCTAGAACAGCTTGTTCATTTGAGTATTGAAAGATCAATGAAATTGTTTCATTCATACCTGCAAGACTGATATCATTAATATATTGACACTGTCCAACACTTCCTGGAAAGTAATGATAGACTGAAGACCAAGAAATTGAAGTGAACTCCATAAAAGTTGCTGCAATATTCAGATGAATGTTTCTCAAGGCTGGGATTTAGGAAACTCACTTATATTGGATAAGGAACGTTTCCTCTGAAACAACAGCTGTGAACAGTAGTTTGGAATTCTAATTAGTTCCCAGAAACATAGGTTATTCCAGCAGCAAGAAACTTTAGCAAGTGTGACAAGTAGGATTTCAGCTGAATGGATGCCCTTCCTAATCTCTTGGTTGCATTCTTTATGTGGAGTCACCTTGAAGACTTCAGAAGCAGCAACCATTGTAGCATAATACTCAGCTTTTTTAAAATAAATTAACTAAAAAGAACCATATAACAAGGTTTGCTTCTGAGCTGCCAGAACCAGTTTAAGGTATTTTGTTTATAGAGCCCTAAGCAGCGTAGGATACATTCTTTGCTTAAAATTGTGTTTCTCTCAATACCATCTAGCCCAGGGGTATGAAACTCACATCATGGCAGAGTCACATGACATATCAGGACTGCCCCCCCCTTTGCTAAGCTGGGCATCGGCTTGGCCAGCACATGACGCATCTGGCCCATGGGCCGCGAGCTTGACAGCCTTGATCTAGCCTTTGCTTCAATATCAGCTGGGAAGATTAAATTCAAAGCATAGTGTGACTAGGCAAAGCATCTTAATGGCAACTTCCCAGTTACAAAATTTTCTTCTAAAGTGTGCTTGGCTGATCTCCTTGCCTGAATTGTGACGGGTATAGTGTTCACCAGCAATTTGTATGATAATAGGGTCAACCTGTATTTTAGATTTCCAGTAATTTTGCTTTTCTATTCCTTTTTAAATAAACATTTTAAATGTTCTGTGTAACATGTAAACATTTTGCTGTTTTTTGATTGTAAGATGATTTAAGACAGCTTTTATTGTGTTGTCCTCTTATAAATCTCTTTAGGTGGGATAAAACCTAAATGAAATCTATATTTTTCTTAGTTTATATAAGTAACAGAATTCTGTTTGTGTAGAATTTTAAGTTGATATTCATTGAAAGGAGTGGATTAAGGCTAGGCTATGGAAAATTATAGTTTTGGGACTTTTATGAAGTTGTGGAGTCTTTGCCTAATCATTAACAGATGTATGCTGAGCAATCAGCAGAAAAAAAAATGGATTTATGATGTGGTAGCTTTTTAAAAAAACAGACTTTTGTAAGCTTGCTTGGAACATTTTCAGTCCTCAGTGCATGTTTAGTTAGGAGTAGTTCATCTGATTTTATTTATATAGTATATGCAATGTAAAAGACATCTTGAAACCATGTGAGATGCGGCTTGTAACTTTTTGCTATATTT